AAAAAAAAAAAAAAAAAAAAAAAAAAAAAAAAAAAAAAAAAAAGGAGAAAGAAAATCACCCCTGCTGAGAAAGAGAGAGATGGAATAAAGTTGGGGGGAGGAGAGCAGATCCCTTCACTAGCATGTCTATGCCCTTCCTTGGGGGGGGTTAATTTGCCTTCCGTGGGACAGAGTTCAACAACTCCTGTCTAAACCCATTAGGTGGAACAGAGTAAAACACCTGAGGAACCATCACCTGTTCGAAACCAGCGTGGAAAAACTGGCACTGGCAAAGCAGGGCTTATTTTTTGGCTAAAAATCAAAATTTCGATTAAAAAAAAAAAAAAAAAGCAAAGAGGGGAAAAGGAAGAGAAAGGAAGGCAGAAAAATAACCCCATTCAGCCCTAAAGTGGCAAGGGGACCCCACGGGGTGCCGGGGCTCAGCTCATTCGCAGGCATGCAGCGAAGGGTTAATCAACATTTAACCGTGCGGATCTCAGGCAATCAACCCTCCAGAAAAATTCCAACTGGGCTTTTTAACACCTTCCCCATCCTCTTGCCCTAGCCACGAAGCGGCGGCTCGGCGACATGCTGCCCTCCCTGCCTGCAGCCAAGCTCTGGAATGCGGAGCCGGCGATTCCCCCATGGACCACCGCAGTCCCCCTCCTCGGCCGCTGGTGTCCCGGCTCCTGCCATCCTCTGCAAACCACCATGGCACACAGAAAACGAATCACATTACCTGGAGAAGCCAAATCTTAGTGTCTCTTAGTAACACCGATTATCTGACCCCTGGGGAAATCCTAGAGAGAGATACAGGCTTCCAAGATCCCCATAATTTCCTCTCTCTTCAAAGTTAAAAATAATGGTGAGTCATCGTAGAAAAAGGAGAAGGGACATAAGAGGGGTTAAATTCCCAGATGGTGGAAGTCAGGTCTTGTAATGGTTTGGACTGGAGAGAGAGAGAAAAGAGAGACAGAGAGACAGAGAGACAGAGTCTTCCCGGGAGCTGTTGCAGATCTGCACTTCAGGGCAGATGAGCGTCTGTCTGATGCCTTCGGTACGACGGTGAAAAGCTGCTAAGCTCAGCAAAACCCGATGTCCCCAGTGTCCTCGGGAGGTGTGGCATCGCCTGGAAAAAACACCGAGAAGGTAACAAGCTGCTGGGGGGTGGTGGTGGGAGAAGGGGGGGGGGGGGGGTCCCAGAGGAGCATCTGCAAAGCCGCGGCTCCTCCGGGCACCCCCTTTCTTCCTTACCCGCTGCTCGCCCGCCCCGCACTGCAACGCGAGGCGAGGGCGAGAGCGCGCTAGAGCCAGGGCGGAAAAAGCCAGAGCCCCATCTCCCTGCGCCCCGCTCAGCACCGCGGGGCCGCTGCCCGGGGGAGCCGGTGCCAGGCGCAGGATGGAGGAGGAGGGGATGGGGGTGGAGGGGGGAAGGAACGACGCAGCCCCCCCCCCCCGGCCGCTGAGGCTCTGCAAAGCCGCGGAGGGTCCCCCACCATCGCCAAGCCCCCGGGAGCCGGTGGGACCCACCGGGCACGGCACCCACCGGGCACGGCACCCACCGGGCACGGCACTCACGGCGCTGCGTCGCGTCCCCCGGTGAATTCAGGAGGCTCCGGTTTCATTCGCCAGACTGAACTCCCCACCGGTCCCTGTCTGTCCCCTTTCAAGGCCACCTACCCCCCCCTCCCCTCCCCCCCGCCGCTGGTGGCTCCAAGGACCCGACGTTGCAGGCCCCGACCCACGCGACCTCCATCCACCCTCCCCGTCCTCCCAAAAGCCAACA